TTGATTTTGTACCCTGCAACTTGGCTGAATTCTTGGATCAGTTCTAGTAGGCTTCTGGTGGAGTCTGTCGGGTTTTCGATGTAGAGTATCATGTCATCTGTGAAGAGTGAAAGTTTGACTTCCTCTTTGCCAATTCGGATGCCTTTGATTTCCTTTTGTTGTCTGATGGCTGATGCTAGGACTTCCAGCACTATGTTAAACAGCAGTGGTGAGAGTGGACATCCCTGTCGTGTTCCTGATCTCAGGGGGAAAGCTCTCAGGTTTTCCCCATTGAGGATGATGTTAGCTGAGGGCTTCTCATAGATGGCTTTGATGATGTTTAAGTAGGTTCCTTCTATCCCAGCTTTCTCTAGAGTTTTTATTAAGAAGGGATGCTGTATTTTGTCAAATTCTTTTTCTGCATCTATTGACAGGATCATATGGTTTTTATCTTTTATTGATATGATGTATCACATTGATCCAGGTATATATTCTTAAAGAGTATATAACCTGTACATTTCTGTTGGGAGACATAAACAAGAAATTCTAGAAGCTTTGTTTGTAATAGTTTAAAACCAGAATTTAAAGGTCTGGCAACAGAAGAAAGTATAAATTGCAGTATCATGTATAGTGATCACTATATAGAGTCTGGTGTGATACTGTAGTGATCTACTTTCTAGTGATACATAGAAGATCCTAGATGGGTAGATAGACAGACAGTAGATACATGGGTAGGGAGTAGATATAGATATAGTGGATCTAGCATATGGTACCACATGGGAACTGAATGAATTACATTTACATGTGAGAACATTGCTATTACATTTTCAGGAACATAAAAAGCAAGTTACAAAAAAGTCTTTATAAGTTAAAACTAATTTACATGGATGATCATTGTATTGTTATATGTTACTTGAATTTTAGAAATTGTTTCTGTTCAAAAGTTAATTTTATTTTCTTAAAGTTTATTTAGTGTGTGTGTGTGAGAGAGAGAGAGAGAGAGAGGCACACACACAAATGGGGGAGTTATAAAGTGAGAGGATCCCAAGTGGGCTCTGCACTGTCAGTGCAGAGCTGGAGGCGGGTCTTGAAATCAGAATGGTGAGGTCATGACCTGGTCCAAAATCCAGAGCCAAATCCAGAGTTGGCCACTTAACTGACTGAGCCAGACAGGTACCCTAGGTGTGGAAGCAGATGAGGGATAGGGAGAGGGAGGATCTCAAGCAGGCTCCACACCCAGTGCAGAAACTGACCTGGGGCTTGATCTTACCTGATATCATGACCTGAGCTGAAATCAAGAGTTGAACGCTTAACCAACTGAGCCGCCCAGGCGCCCCAGAAGTTAATTTGGAGTAATTTTATTTATTTATTTATTTATTTATTTATTTATTTAATTTTGTTTTATTTATTTATTTATTTCTAGGAGAGAGAGACAGCGTGAGCAGGGGAGGGTCAGAGAAAGAGGGAGTCACAGACTGAAACAGGCTCCAGGCTCTGAGCTGGCAGTCAGCACAGAGCCCGACGTGGGGCTCGAACCCTCGAACAGCGAGATCATGATCTAAGCAAAAGTCGGACGCTTAACCGACTAAGCCACCCAGGCGCCCCTGGAATAATTTTAAATAAATGCAAAATATTTATCACTGCATCAATCATCATAATAAAATATTTTAAAATTATAAAAAATTGACCAAAATGTTCATGGTCCATCCATGAATGTATGGATATATGTCCATAACATACTAAGCATCTATTTAAAACATTGCTGTATGTTTGTTGAAACAGAAAACTGTTGACAATATATTCTTATGAGGGAAAATAACAAGGTATAAAAAGGGTATGTACTGTTGGATTATAGTTTGCAAAAAAAAAAAAAAAAACCAAGATAAATATAGAATACAGAAGTATAATAGAACAAAAAAGTCAACATTTTTGTTTCTAAATAGATACCTTGGATAATTTTTCTTTATGACTCTGTATTGTCCAGTATCTTGCCAGGATAAACATATACTCCATGTGTAAGGGGATAAAATCTTCTGCCAACCGGAGCCTGGGGGCAGGGGGAGAACATGTTCTGCCATGTGCTCAGGTCTTTCCTTCATTCACTTTTTCCTTTTTCCTTCAGTGTATATTTATTTACCAAGCATCTGTTGTCTGTGTGAAGCCCTCTGTCTGGTCCTGGGAAAGAAAGATGAATAAGGCATGTCCTGGCCCTGGAGGAGCACAGTCTGTATATCAGTAATGTGTCAGATGAACTATTGTAACATTCTCGTTAATACAAGGAGGTTTGCTACCCCTTCGCTTCTTTCAGTCAACCAAAGAAAATCCCATAACTTCTAACCCAGTTTCTAGCCTCTCTGCTCTCCTTTCTTGCTCGTTAAGTGGATTGAGGGACACCTGGGTGGCTCAGTTGGTTGAGCGTCTGACTTTAGCTCAGGTCATGATCTCACACTCGTGGGTTCAAACCCTGAGTCGGGCTCTGTGCTGACAACTCAGAGCCTGGAACCTGCTTCAGATTCTGTCTCTCTCTCTCTGACCCTCCCCAATTTTCTCTCTCTAAATAAACAAACATTAAAAAAAAAAGAAGTGGATTGATCCATGTACTAGAGGGGTGAAGAGGAGATGGCATGGAAGAAAAGCCGGGGCACCTGGGAGTGCAGAGGTTAAGGCTAAGGTAGGGGGCAGTGCCTGGGACAGCCGGTGGTGTGAGGGAAAGGAGGTGGGAGCAAAAACGGATGTGAGCAAATGTTACCATAAATTATGAATTTGTGTCTCTATAACTGTTTTAGGAAAAAGGCAGTAAAGCAATTGTGTTATTTGTTAAAATTATTTTTGACCTTGGGGCTGTTTTTCTTCAACCACATTATTCTTTCAAAGCTGGACCTTATGCATCTGGGTTTAATGGCTACACAAGAATAGTAGTTAGGAATACCCAGAGGATGAGAGTTCTCCAGAACTCTGTCACTAGGAATAAAAACAATATGCCAAGGAGAAGACATTGATCACCATATGAGGAACTTGTTACTGTAGTTAAGTGTGTTAGACAAGATCAACAATCAATTTTCCTTGCAACTGATCCTGGGCTTGGTCCTTCCCCTGCCTGGACCTGTCTCAGTTAGGACTAAATTGCAGACAGTAGAGCAGTACTTGGCCGGAGGAAATGGCAAAGGGCTTACTGACTGACCTTTTCTAAAACCCAGGTGATATAAAAAATAATTTGCATCCAAGAGTTCAGGATGATTTCTTAACTTGAACACATAGACTCCTATTTTATAGGAGATTTTAGTTTTTAATTTATTTATTTTTTTTTTTTTGGTTTTTCAAAAAAGTAGTTTGTCTTCCAAGGTGACTTGGTCTGGCTTGTGTTTTCATTAAAGAAGTGTGGGTGAGGGGGCGTAGCTGTGTTACCCCAGGCAGGCCGCTCCCCCTGCAATGGGAGGAGAGAACTGGCTGGGGTGGGGGCAGCCAGCAAACTGAAGCCAGGGAGCAGGGAAAAGTGGTGGTACAGATTGAAGGTTCCTCAGGGGCTGAATCTGCCACCCCCTCTTCCTCATCTAGGATCTCAGTCAGTCTGCTCTGGGGTAGGCTCAGAGTCACCCCAGGGAGATGCATCTCTGATGTGACTTGAAGGTGAGGATGTAGGTCAGTTGCTCCTCAGCGGGCTTTGCTACGTGTCTGTCCTGCCCACAGGAGGGTGGAGGGAATTGTATGTGTGTTCGTTTCCTATTGCTGCTGTAACAAATTGCCATCAATTGGGTGGCTTAGAACAACTTATATTTATTGTTACAGTTGTGAAAGTCAGAAGTCTAAAATCAGTTTCACTGAGCTAAAATGAAAGTGTCAAGCCTTATCATGACCACATTATTTTTGGTAACTTATATCCATGATGAAGCCTTCTAGACTCTCTCATTTCCTATATTAACTCCTTGGTCCTCAGATGCCTGCTGAGCAGGAAGTCCTTGGAGCCATATCCTGGAAGTTTCACAACATGAGATGAGGTTTGCAGGCTTTGTTCCTGGTGGGGGTGGGGGCCAACCACACTGGGTGCATGTTGGCCTCGGATGGCTGGTTTGCTCCAGGGCCTTTGACCAAAAGGCAGAATCAGGCTTCGTGCTCTAGGGGGCTGGCTGGCCAGCCCACCTGTGACCAGCCTCTCTGAGCCAGCATGTCTGCAGATAATATTGCCTCCGTCAGTGTTGTTAATGAAGGCCCTGACCTCGGTCATCAGAGCAAGAGCAGCTATGTTTGCCATGCAATGTGTACTTTTGCCCTCTTGTGTTGAGAGAATCAGAAGCCCCTAGAAGATAGATAAGGCTTAATGTCAGAGCCGTTCCTCTGAAGCCCAGAGTCCTGTTTATGAGTGGTTCATGGAGTGGAGCTAGGGCACCCAGTTCTTTCTAGTAAGGTCTTCCTCGGGAGCTCTTTACTGAGCAGAACATTGGGTGTTATAACTAGAACATCCGCCTCCCTAGTCACGTTATAGTGGATGCTTAGCCACATGACTCCATGTCCACAAAGGCTGTTTCTACTCAAGATCAGACATGGAGATGATATTGCATAGAATTTTCTCTGCTTTGAATTTATAAAACATAACGTGTGGAGGTGGTATTGTGTCAGATGGTTTGTAGTGACTGCAGATTCCTGGGAGTTAAAATGGTTGGTTTGTGTGGCCTCAAACAAGAGCAAGACAGGGCTTCCTTCTAGAAGCTCTAGAAGAGAATCTGTTTGCTTGCATTTTCTAGCTTTTTGAAGCTACTTGCTTTCTTGGCATGTGGCCCTACATCACTGTGACCTTGTTTCCCTTGTAACATCTCCAGAGTCTGACCATCCTGCCTTTTCCTTATAAGGACCTTGGTGATGACAATGGCCCCACCCAGATAGTTGTTCCCAAAATCTTTACCTTAATCACATCTGCAAAGTCCCCTTTGCTGTGTAAGGGAACATGTACACAGGTCCTGGGAATTAGGTGTGGACATCTTTGGGGGCAATTGTCTGCCACAGAGCCAGATGATGGGCCACTCCCTGGGTGAGCTCCCTGCCCTGCTGTGTTCTTGGTTTTTCTTGCCACGATAAAAGGATACAGATCATTGCAGTGCTACATATTGGCATGATAGCTGCCAGCAACAAGCTCAGTAGAATACTTGTTAATATCATTTGTTTGGGAACATGTCTGTGACCGAGGAACCTGATGATTGCCATTCCTGTCACTAACCTGTGATTTTGTAAACTAAACCTTGAGTGGCAATTCGAAAAGGATCATCTTTCTCTGTTTTCTCATTTCATACAGATTTATTTCAGGTCATAGCTCCAAATCTTAGCAAATACGGTAATCCCCCCCTTATCTGTAGGGAGTATGTTCCAACACCCCCGGTGGATGTCTGGAACCACAGGTAGTACTGAACCCCTGTATATACTGTGTGTTTTCATACACACACACACACACACACACACACACACACACCTGAGATAAAGTTTAATGTATAAATTAGACACGGTAAGCAAATAACTTAGTAACTAAGAGTAAAATAGAACAGTTACAACAACATATAGTAATAAATGTTGTGTGAATGTAGTTTCTCTCTCTCACAATACCTTATTGTGTTGCACTCGCCCTCATGATCATGTGAGATATTAAAACGCCTACGGTGATGAGATGGAGTGAGATGTATGATGCGGGCGTGTGATATAACATCCACCTGCTGTTGACCTACTGATCATAAGTCATAAGGAAGATGATGTGCTTCCAGACATAGTTGGCTGTGAGCAACTAAAACCATGGAAAGTGAAACAACAGGTAATAGGGAACTACTGTAAAATGATTAGATGCTCATTCCGTCACCATACAGTCCCCAGATTTGAGAGACCTACTTGGAACTACATCCTTTCAGGTAACTAGTTCATCCTGGAAGGGCTGGGTTTCTGTACGGGGAGGTCCACACCACACCAGCTAAGCCCGGGGCCTTCCCAGCTGATCTTCATCAGCACAAGCAGGACGTTCAAAGCATCCTGAGTGCCTGGTAGGAATGAATCTCAGGTTTGCGATGTGGGCCCCTCTCTTATCAGGTGACCACTGAGGTCCACGCCCCAGCCACCCCACCCTCCTCTCATGCCTCTCTTGGTGGTACTGGGAGGCAAGGGACTGTACTTTCTCCCAAATGGGTGCCTTATAACAATTGGTGTATGGAAATGTGTCAATCAGAAGATTGTTAAGATTTTGATGGAGAAATGTTGAAAGCAGCAGTGTGAAGACAAAGTCACATCATTGGTCTCCAAAGAGACCTTAGGAGGTGGTCAGTCGGGCTGGAGGCAGCCCATCCTTTTTCGGGATTAACACTCTGGTGAAGAAGCTGTCAATGGCCCCCCTCCCCAGCCCCCAGGGTACAGTTTTGTCTCTAGGTTCATGTCCCAGGTCTGGACGCTGCCTGCTGTGGTCCCGGCCCATGCACGGGGGACAGCGGCAAGCCCTGCTTTTGTGTCCTTGCTCTTTGAAGCCCAACCAAGTTTGGCAAGATTCCAGACCAGAGTTTGTGTGTTCATGTTTGAAACACACAGACTCCACATAGGCTTGCTTCAGTCTGTATCTCTGGTCCAGCTCATCTTGCCAGATCTGCAGGCTAGGGTGTTGGGCCTGAGTTCAGCTACTAACATGGGGCTACTTGCCCTTTCTCTGTCAAGATGTCTGGTATATTTGGGGCCTTACAGAGTTACTGTGGTCGAGGTAGGGCCCCTAACTGTTGGTCCACCTAATAGCAGCCTAGACACACAGCAAATTCTAAGAGGAGAAAATGGGATTCTGTTTCTATTTACACTTAGATCTTCTCTGTGACACATGAGAGGCAAACAATGCGTGTCTTATCTTCTTGCCTAGACTACCAGCTCCTTGAAGCCAGGGATGATATTTTTGCTTTACTTGTGCTGTTTACCTACCTCTCTCTTGAAGGTGCTATTGCTAGTACAGAAATACATGTTGTGTGACTCAAGATTACAGGTGGCCCTGGGAACTGCTGTGGGAGATGTCTTAACAGCGAGTGAAGGGCAGGGAGCAGAGCGGGGAGCTGGGACTCCTGCAAGGTGTTTTTAACCTGCTCTAACCTTGAAATCGAGTGTGAGCAGTGCCTGCACTTGGGCGGCAGCATTCTGTGGATCATGCTGCAGTTTTGGGAGATGCTGATACGCTAGTTTTCCCTGAACCTTTTTTCTTTGTTAGATCAGTGGTTCCCACCCTTGGTTTTACAGCACCCCAGGGTGCCTCTGGTTGTCTCAAAGGCTGGCACAGAATTCTCAAACCGTCTGCTTCAAATGAAAAACAAAAATGCAGGATACAGCAGTTTTAGCTGAGTTTGGAGGAGGGTAGGAAGAGAGAGCCATAGAATCCAAACCAGCAAATTGGGTGTCACACCGCAAAGGCTGGAGATGCTGCCTTAGAAAAGAGGAACGGTTACAGAAAGCCGGTGTCTCTTTGTCATGGTTTGGTTTCATGTTTGGGGCACTGCTGCACAGAAAAACCCCACTTTCCTGCTTTCTGTGCCTTTTCTATAGAAAATGAATGTTATTATAGATGAATAGTGTTGTACAGAAAAGCATTCAGCAGAGATCTGAACCAGCAACTCTGAAGAAGAGAATCTCCAGTGAAGCAGAGCTTTGCTGTTTGCTGGGCTTCCAGGGGATTCAGCACTGGAGATGCTTTGACTGCGTTGCAGGGTGTCCCCGTGGTTGGCTGGACACTAGGGACACACTGTTGCCTGTTTCTTCATCTGTACAGTGAGATAATAATGAAATGGGTCTCATGAAGTTAAGAGAATTAAGTGAAAGTTCATAAAAACCTTAGATGGGGCACCTGGGGGGCTCAGTCAGTTAAGCGTCCTACTTCAGCTCAGGTTATGATCTCGCAGTTCATGAGTTCAAGCTCCATGCAGCTGTGTGTTGACAGCTAGCTCGGAACCTGGAGCCTGCTTCAGATTCTGTCTCTGTCTTCCTCTCCCTTTGCTCTTCCCCCACTAGTGCTCTGTCTCTCAGAAATAAATAAATGTTAAAAAAATTAAAAATAAATAAAAAATCTTAGTTGGGACCCTGGCACATAGTGTGGGCTAAATAAAATATTGACAGCCTGCTTGCTATGTACTAGGTTTGGCACTTGACAGGTTCTTGGTAGCCCGTGTCTTGTGGAAAAGGCAAAAAGGAGACAGTTGAGTGAGAGATCCTTGGATGAATGCTAGTTCAGCACAGACTTGTGTAAATTCATAATTAAAACATAGATTCTGGTTCTGGCTTTGGTTGTTGATATTTTGGACAAGTTATTTATCTTTTCCAAGCCTCAAGGTGTTTATTAGGGTAGGTGGGTTACAGTTACACATGGGCTCCAAAATTTCAGTGCCTCAACACAATAGAAGTTTACTTCTTGCTCCAGGAACGGTTCTGGACAAGTATTCAGGTTGTTAAAGTAGTTGTCCTCCATGTGGTCATTCAAGGACGTGGGCTGACAGCAGTTTCCCAGATTGCCCTGGGTATCGGTGGGCCAGCCAGCCCCAGCAGCAGCATGGAGACATGGCTCTGGGAGGTTCTCATCAGCCAGACCCCGAGGAGGCATTCTATCCAGCATGCACATTCTGACTGAGAGGACTTAATGCATCTAATGGCAAGGATGGGTGGAGTATATCATCCTGCTCTGTGTCCAAAGAAAGAGAACAGTGTTTTCTAGACGTCTCCGTTTGCTCATTTTTAAAAATGTTTTTATTTATTTCTGAGAGAGAGAGACAGCGTGAGCAGGGGCGGTTCAGAGAGAGAGGGGGACACAGAATCCGAAACAGACTCCAGGCTCTGAGCTGGCTGTCAGCACAGAGCCTGTCGCGGTGCTCGAACCCACAAACCGTGAGATCATGACCTGAGCTGAAGTCGGATGCTCAACCGACTGAGCCACCCAGATGCCTCAGTTTGCTCACTTGTAAGGTGGAAGGTGACGTTCCCTGCTAGGCTAACTCACCCAGTTGCTGGGTGTCACGTCACCTGAGTTGAAATGAGCCAAGTGGACAAAAGGAGCTGTTGCCTGGGATGTGGCAGCCTGGGCTTACCAGAGAGCCAGGTGGGAGTAGGGTCACCAGTGTCTCTGTACCATCCCTGTGCCATCCCCTGATGAAATCGTACCAACAGGTGTTGACCGAGAAATGTGTCGGGGCCAGCCATGGGTGCTGAGAATGCAGTGGTCACATGACAGAGCATATGTGATATAGTGTCCCAGTACAGTATGACACACACTATAAGAGTACACAGGGGTGTCCAGTTCAGGCAGGGCAGTCAAGACACCTTTCCCATGGATGGGGCATCTACTGGAGAACAGAAGAGGTTGACCTGGCAGGATCAGGGAAGGCAGGGCCAGGTGTGGGAAGGGTGTTCAGAGCAGAGAGAATCCCAGGAGCAAAGCCCCCAGAGAATAAGAGTGCCGTTTGAGGGAGGACCTGAAACTCAGTGGCCAGGTCTCAGGTCAGGAAGGAGCAGCCAAGAGGCCAGAGTGGTTGGTGGGATGTGCAGAGTTTTACAGGCCATGGTGAAGCCTCAAGGGCAGCTCAGCTTCCCAAGGAAAGTGCCTCTTTCTTCAGTGTGACTTATTTGTTGGAGCCACAGTAGCATATCCTGAGAATCATTACTGAAACTTCATGAAAGCAGATGGTGTTTCACTTGCAGCCAGTGTTCTAGGATCCCCTTCTGCGTGTCCAAAGTAGACACGATTCACCACATCCCTGAGCTGAATTGGCAAACATTTACCAAGGTTGTATTGTGGTGATTAGAACCCGATGACCAGCGGTCACCCTCTCAGCATAGACTAACTTAATGAGATCTGTGTTTTCACAGACGTGCAGGTAAGTGTCCAGTGCTCCCTGGGGTTGGTAGATGAGGCGGAGCAAGGCTGAGGCTGCATTACCGTGTGGCTGCACCATGGCCATCAGGCATCACCAGGACCTTCTTGCCTGGGCCCAGGGCTGCACCTACCTCTCAGGGCGATGAACCCAGCTGGTCCTCACTCCACCGTCCGCTCAGTCTGTTCTTGCTTATATTTATGTTGCACCTGAATGTTTCCAAATAAGGAGAAAAAATAAGGGGGAAATCAAAATGTGAATGACTCTTGGTTCTCCCAGGTCCCTCAGCTATTCAGTTTACAGCTCTTACAGGATCACTTCTGGCCTGTATTTCCAGAGATGATTCCTGGTTGTTTAACTGCAGTATGTGTCTGGAATGCTTATAAGATTGGTCAGTATTGCAGTGAACATGCACACACACATCCACGTGCACGCACATGCACACAAGTGGTAAGGGAGGTGGGGATTACACTGAGAGGGAGGGAGAGGAGAAAAGGTACTGGCTGGCCCACCTGGGTTTGGGGTGAACCCTGGTTTTCATGAGGAGTGAAACAGTTTGGAGATGCCTCACATCAAGCTTCATCAGTCTTCCTGGGCCCTTGACTAATTTTTGATTCTCTGGTTCTGTTAGCCAAGCATTAAATGGAGTACAAAAATACACCCTTCAATTTACAGAGAAGTGGAAGGTATTCAAACACAGAAACAAAATAAAGGATAATTTTTCATCTTCCACTGAAACCTCTCATTTTCCAGCAGTAGAGAAACAAAACAAGAGCCAGTGGGAACATGCAGTGACTGAGAAGCAGCACATTAGCAGTCTTTTGAAGAGGGCTGCATGGGATTGATGATGTGCTCTGGACAGAGCTCAGGATCCCTCTTTGTTCACACCCATTGTGACTTCAGAGACTTAGCCAGAGCAACTTGCCGCCTGTCCCTCTGTTGAGTGGGAAGGCAAGGGACTGAGGAAATGCCCTCCTCAGAGACCATTGAAGATGATGGGAGTCAACTGGCAATGCCACCTATCTGAGCTCAAAACCCCAGAGTTCCTACAAGCTCCCTGGGCCCCACATCTGACATATCCAGGTTGGCCGCCATGTTTTGCTCTTTCTACTCCTCTTCAGATCCATCCTTTCTTAGTTTGCTGTCATCCCCAGTTCCCTGCAATAGCCCCTCTGCCCCCAGACGGCCACCTGGCGCCACTCCACTACTCATCCACATTGTTTTTGCACACTTGGCCAGCTTGGTGTAAGGTTGGAGCCTGTGGGGATTAGTTAATTCACATGGAGACCTACGTGGCTGCCAGATGGAGCTTGCTGGGAATCTTACCTGCTTTTCTGCCCACATGGTGAGGCCATCCTTGGTCTGTCCTCATCCACCTCTCCAGTGACAAGCCCCAGCCTGCTCTAGCATACTTCCTTTGTTCTGGCTCTGTGTTCCGGCTTCCTCTGTTGTTGGAAAATTCTGTTTGCTCCCAATATCAGGCTAGAGTCTCCTTTCAGCTGCTCTCTATTCATCTCTCTTTTTCTCTCTACCCCACACCCACCCGTCATTGGTGAGTGCTTGATGATGAGGCTACCCCCTTGGTATAATGGAGTGCCTCATCTCTCCAACTATTTAGTGAGAATAAAAAAAAATTGCTAGGATGTATTGATTGCTTTTGTGGGCCAAAGATTGGGTCAAGGCCTCCTCAAATAAATATGCTCAATAACTGTGTGGTGAATATCAGTGTCTCATTTTAGTAAGTAAAATCAGACTGCCAGGAATCAAAGCTGTTTACCTGTGCTTTTAACCTCTGCTCTCACTGTGTATGGTACATAATAGATGCTCAATAGATAGTTATTGAAAGAAGGAACAAGCCATTATGTCTTTCCTAGGACCCTAGTTCCTGGCATGGTATAGAGTACATAATACATGCTCAACTAATACATCTTTGACAACTTTTTAAGTGTTTATTATAGTTCCATTTAGGTAACATACAGTGTTTTAGTAGTTTCAGGTGTACAATATAGTGATTCAACACTTCCATACATCACCCAGTGCTCATCACTCAGCATATCTGAAGAGATTCTGTGAGAATATCAACAACTCTTACTGGCTGGTGGAGTGACCCAGTGCTCTAGTTGTGAGGCTAGGGATCCAGATTCTAGTCCTGGCACCCTGTAATTGGCTGTGGGACTCTGGGCCTTATTCATCCTCAGACACAATTTCCTTATCTGTATGATAAGGGGTTGTGCACAGGTCCTGTGAATTCTGAAATTCTTGATGCTCTTATTTTCATTCCCTGAAGAGGTTAATTAGGACCAAGTGCTCTTTGGCTGACAATTACACAGCTGAGACATCGCTTGTTAGTGAGGATAGTATCATTGTCAAGGCCAGTATTGTTACTGATGACAATTTACCAGTCTCAGGAGATCAGAGACCTTAAGGAGATTGCTTAAGATGAATAAAATTTCCCCCATCCACCATCAGATGAGACAGCTATGGACGCAGAACTGGGGGACATTCATGTGTAGGATGTTTTGAATCCTCCTAATTTAACCAGCTCTAATTCTTCCCTAAGCATCTGTGCATTCACACTGAAATAAAGGAGCTGCCTTCTAGAGGGAGCCTCTGCATTTCCATGAAGCTGAAGCCTGGACAGGCAGACCAGATATGGGCACAGGCAGTGTGGGGAGGACTCCAGCTCCTGGGAGCCCGCCCTCATCAGACATCCCACTTGGCCAGCTTGGCTTGAGGTTGGAATGTGTATGATAAGCTAATTCACATGGAGATCCAAATGGCTCCCAAGGATCATTTGCATTTTTAACCAAAGAGATACATAATTAATGGAAATCCTCTAGACATCAAGTGTGCTTGGACTTATACCCTGGGTATAACAACAGAAAGCCTGGAATGCCACTCTTTTGAGAAGACCCCACATAGCAGGGCTAAAAGGTGAAGTCTCACAGGTCTGTTCGATCCATGAGGTTATTGTAACATGGATCTGGTCAAGGATTCTTTAAAGCTTTTGCAGAGAAGTTAGCAAGATTAGGTGGCTCTGCAGGGCTTTACTGAGTAGAGTGAGGTCAAAGTCAGTCCTGAAATCTTACGTTCAGCACGTCTGAGTGGATGGCATCCTCCATGAAGTGGGCAGTGCAGGTGAGAGACCCGGGAGGGCTTGTGTTGGATGTGACCTTCCTGAATTCAATTCTGTCTGAATCACTGTGGTATCATGTAACCCACTTGGTGAGCTTTTCTGGAAGGTCTTCTTTGTGCCAGATATTGTGACAGTACTAGTCCAAAGTTGCGTGGTTGGGAGAAAGCTCAAGTTCTATGGAGCTCTCTCTGCAGCAGGCTTATCTAGGCCACGTGGCTCTCCACCTCTTTTTCCTGAGCTCCAGCCATCTATGACAAGACAGGGTGACAAATGGTATGTGTTCCTCATAAACTCCTTGGGGTTGACCCTGATCTGACCCTTCTGTCTTGCACTGCCAGAGGCTGCGACTCTGGTTTTTTACCCTTCAGTCGTCATAAAGTCTTTTCCCTTTGTCCTGTCAGACTTTGGAAAACCCAGAGTAATGATAATGATTTATCTTCGTAAGCCTTCCAGTGGACTCCCATTATGCTGAGGATAAAATCCAATTTCTTCCCAGAGCCTGCAAGGCCCTGTATGATCTCACCCTGTCTGCCTTTCCCCAGTCATCTTCTTTTGACCTCCCTTTCACTCCCTGTGCTCTAGATGCAATGACATACCTTCCATCTGCCCCTCAAGTAGAACAAACTTGATTCCACCTTGGGCATTTGCACGTGCTACTCCCTATGCCTAGAAAGTCTCCCCTCAGGTGTTTCATGGCTGCTGTCCTCGTACCCTTGGCATGCCCTTAGGTATTAACTCCCTGGAAAGGCCATTATTGACTTTCTTGTCTTTCTCATTCTCATCCCCTTGCCTTCCACTACCATTACAGTCTTTAGCTCCTTCATAGCAGCTGTTACCCAGGATTATCTTATTGATAGTTTACTGTCTGTCCAGTGAACTAGAATGTAAGCTCCAAGAGAAAAATGTCCCATCGCAGTTGGTTACCACTATATTTCAGGTGTCTAAAATACTATCGAATGAATGGATAATTGAATGACAATTACTGCTATTTACTGAGTACTTATAACCTGTCAGGCTAACACATGTAATCATCACACCAGCACCGCGTGATGGTACTATTACCCTCACTTGATACATGAGGAAAACAACGTTCATATTGGTTAAGTGCATTGTCACTTTCGTAGTACACATAATAACTAGGATTCAAACACAGGTCTCTCTGGTTTGGAGACCCATGTACTATCTCTAAAGAACATGTGAATAACTTACTGTGTTGTCAGCTTTGCAGTCGAGCACTCCTGGCTCACCTGGCCTTGCCTCCTTAAAGGTCCTGTCTCCAAATACAGTCACACAGAGGCTTAGGACTTCAATATGTGAATTTAGGAGTAAGAGAACACAAATCAGTCTACATATCAGCACTTTCCATGAAAATGTTTTTCCAATTCCTTAGCTGTACCCAGCTGATTGCTTCCCAGTAAGTGTCTCAGAACAAAACATTGAAATATGTGGTCCCTGCCCTCAAGGAACGTAGAGTTGTAGATGATCAAATAATTGAATGGTATGCTCTGTTAATTATTGTGGGCTTTAAGAATGAATTGTGGAGCACTGGGTGTTATATTGAAACCAACTTGACAATAAACTATTTTAAAAAAAATAAGAACTAAAAAAGGAATGAATTGTGGATTCCACTGTTGAAGCCCCTGGACTGTGAGGGGCCACCAGGGCACATACATGCAGAGAATGTGTCAATCAGATAATCGATTAATTTAATTTTAAATGTGGCAGCCCTTGAAATATTAAATGTGAAAGATGCTGCTGAAAATTGTTTAGGCTGCAAGTCACATTGGAGGGATGTCTGTATCAGCATTATGTCATGCTTTGGCCTCCAAAATTTAGGCAGAATGTGAAAAAGCTGGAGAGGGTCCAGAAATGAACAACAAGGGTGAATCAAGGGACAGAAAATGATGCTATGAGGGAAAGAGATAAGAGCTGTGTTTTTTAAAAATTTTTTTAAATCCCAATGCCCAAGAGATTATGGCAAAGAGGTAATTTACTGTCTTCTAGAGTGATTCACGGAAGAATGCTGACCAGCTGTTTAACATTTTCTTGGAAAATTTAATAGGAGTCATGGGGTCAAGTCCAGCAAAAGAAAGGTGGAGGAGGCAGAGAAGTAATCATTTAGATTTTTAGTGTGATTAAATGCTGACTTAGATGAGCAGGAGAATTGCACTAGCTGTGGTCCTGCCCTGACGGCTGTTTGCTTCGGGTGGCTACAGTGCATGTATACCTGGGCCACTGTCGTTGCTCATGAATAATTTCCCCTACGACTGTATGTCCCTGTGGGGAACTCTAGGGACCTGGACTTGTATGCCTGTTTCGCTTTCTGCAGTGTCTGCTGAAATTTTCACATCTTTGTCACAAAGGGAGCTTTACAGCATCTAACTGAGCCTCCTGGCATCTGTCCTCAGTTGCATCAGTGTGTTCTTGGGACAGGCGTGCAGTTTATAAATCCATCTATGTGGAGGTAAGAGATTAAACCAGATGACCTCTGAAGACTCTTCATGGTCAACACATCTAGTGATTTTCTTGCTTAAAACTTAAGAGTGGGTACAGACTTGTCCACTGTGCCTCTCCATGAGTGGGAATTTAATAAAAATCCCCACTAAGAATTAATGGCCATAAAGAGTTAATAAGGTCAATGGGTTAATTTAGAAAGAGTTTGTAGGATAATGGGGATCAAAATGGAAAAGGAAATA